TTTCAATTAAGCACATGCGGAAGCGAATTCAATATCTCCCAACCAACAACATAAAGGGGATAGCATGAAAAATACATACACAAAAGCACACTTGATATATATATATATATATATGCATCATTAACAATCGAACGTTAGCTAAATACAAACCCGCTACTATAGGCCTTTTTCCGATTCAATCAAAAGGGGTCGAGGTTAGACCTAGCTCCTCTATCTATGAGGGCAGCTGCCAAAAAGTGGTTCCACCACAGGAGATTGATTCACTTTGGTTCGGGCTCGGGATCATAGTTCGCGTCGGACTCGGGGTCACTCACGGTGCCATCCGGAGGATTCCCCGCCATGGGGTTCATTGGGGCTCTGCCAAGGTCACCTGGGGGTCCGTCGAACCCACGAAGACGACCGAAGAGATCCCCATCGAACCATACGAACCATGCCACAAAACGATGGGGAACCAAGTGTTTTAGGCCCTCCTCAATCCATACCGTAGTGGTACACCTATTATAAGTAAGATCACTTCCCACTACCACGACCTCGGTAACATCCACATCTTTAGTAACTAGGTACCCAAAATGGACAAAGCGGCTATTCATACCTACGAGCCTGAAAAGAAGTGAACAACAACAAATGACTAAAACTCAATAAGTAAGCCCTCTAAGCCTCGTATAGGAGGATACCTCGCCTCGAAAACACACCAAACATAGGGCTTAACAAATCGATGTCAAGTCAATAGTAAAGCCTTTGCTTTGCCTTATTTATATGCATGAAAGATAACTTCATCTTCTCGGCATGCCAAAACGCAATCAAATAATCATACGTGAATTCTTACCTCCCGTTGGTACATACAATTCACACAAATAATCACACGTGAAGCCTCGCTTCCAATTGACATGCGGCAATTGCACATAGTCATCAAGAACACTTCATATCATATATTCATGCAGAATGCATCTACATATGTTCCGATTATTACGACTGCTCACGGTCACGATCGACACTCGCGTCAGTGGTCTTCTAACGAAATCGGGCATCGTCCCGCCCTATCGGGCACGGCAACATCTCGACCTCACTCAAAGATGGCATCCACTTAAGAGCATTGTTTCAAAATCTATCCGCGAATGGCAACCGAAATCCATCGGGCATCCGAAAATCTATCGGATATCGTCCTCTGCAATCATACAGATACGGAACCATTTATGTGATCACGCAAGCATATCAAGCACTCAAACCAATTATTGTCTTTCACTTAGGCCAATGCAAGAGTGTTTAATGCTCACATGGTTAGAACATCTAAAATCCCGCACACATAAAAATGCACGAAAATAATCACACGTGAACAACCGCAATCTTTCGACATGCGAAATTGCACACTTCACTTACAAACCTCCCTTGTAAAGATGGACACACGCAAGATGACATACAACGTCGGTTTCTCATAAACTCATAACTATGTAAAAACACGAGACTTATATTACACTAAACAATCACATGAGCACATATGCTTCACCTTGATCCCCATAACATAAACGTGCGTCAAGAAAACATGTAATTTCACACGGCAATTACTAACGAGAACAAGAATAGCGGAAACATTTCATGAGCAAACCATACAAAATTGTTATACGGGCTTCCTCTTTCTAGAACAAGCGACAATCAACCGTAACAATCACGGAACCTAAACTCAAAACTTAATCCAACTACGTAGAATCAAGTCCGAACCAAGGTATAGATAATCTACCTATGGCACAAGCAATGTCATGGTAGAACAGGCTCGGATAAGACTCAACCTAGGTCCAAAACGCGTAGAATAACATCATATCCATGGATTAGAAGAACTACTTACTAAACTGGTTGGACTACGGACGATGACGGACAAACGGCGACAGCAAACGAACAGCGACGGTGTCACGGTGGTGCGACGACGGCAAGGCGGCTCGGTGGCGGACGGCTGCACAACGACGAGGACAGCGCGGAGACGGGCGGATGACGTCGCGGCGGTGGACGGTACGGCGGCGAGCAGTGTTGGCGGGAAGAGGGCGTGAGAGAAAGAGGGGGTGAAGGAGAGAAAGAGAGAAATGATAGTGAGTGAGAGTGAGTGAGAGTGAGAAAAGAAAAAAGATGAGAAAAAAAGGGAAGGCTTCTTGAGTTTGAGAGAGGGCAATAATGCAATTCCATTTATGACCCTAGCCTAGGCCTCCTTAATTTGCTCCCATCCAAGCAAATTTATGGCCAAGAAGCCATCTTGCAAGTCTTCTTCAACAATCCTCACCCTTAGGCTCTCATGGCTACCAAAGTAGACTCTAGCATTTAGTTGGGGACTAACTTGGGGAACTGAACTAGAAACTAACCAAGTTGGCCTTTTCCGCTCTCCTTTCTCCAAAGTGTCGCCCAACCTATTCAAAACAAGAACAAATTTTGGTCTCTTCCCAAATCAAACTTCTAGAAGGTGCATTAAGTGCTAAACCATGGGTTACTAATAATAGAACACTAATCACACATGGCACATTAATGTGCAATTTTCTAGAATCATCAAAAGGGTCGAATGTGGGCGAAACGGGCTTTACCCTCTTGATTGGCGCCTAACAAGGCCGAACAAGTCCATTGGGCTTGTCTTGGCGCGGGCCTTCGTTGGGCTTCCAATGCTTGGCTCGTGTCCACTTGTTCGAAGATTAACGGTCCAAAGATATGTAATTAAGCGTTGTCGGATTGAGGATGTCACACCTTTAACTTCAAGTATAGGGTTACTTAGAGGAAAGAACATCACAGTACATAATCCAAATCAATGACAGGTAATGACAATTAAAAGTTGATTTTCTATTAGCCATCTTATGAAAATGAAGCATCCTTTTCAATCATGGATAAGCAGGAAAACTGATGAGTCCTCTGAACCGGCAAAGAAGAAAAAAAAAGGAAGAAAGAAAAAAGAAAAGCTTGCACTTAAGTCAGGCTTAAGAGTGAAGCAGATTCCCTCTTGTAATTTGGCAGCTTGTTCTTTTTTCGATTACTCCACAAATGTAAAAAGAATATTTTAAAGATATGTAGGAGATTCAACTTTCCCGCAGGAAAAGCATAAAAAGTTGAGCATGAACATAAGCACCAGTAAACTAGCATCGAGAAATCTAGCATTTAAAGAAGCATGATTTCTCCATCACGTTAAACTTGATTTTCATAATCAATATTAGCAAAGGCCTCTTAAAACTGTGTGGAGGACATGACATGTATAGTAAAAATCATATCCCGCGAGCCTACAATGCGGCAGGAACGACACTCACCTCGGTTCCAAAGGCAAATTTGCGAGCTAGGCATGGTGGCGACTCAAAATCGGCGAGGTGCAATTCAAGAGCTCAACTGTGTTGTGCACGACGGAAGAGGAGACATGTTAGGGTAGGGAATCTGGTTTCGCAATTGATAGGGAAACCTCAAGAAAAATGATGGCATGTTTCGATTCATCGAGAACCGAACAGAGAGACTCCACCCTAAACGAGAATTCGCAAGCCAAAAAAAAAAACGAGACAAGAAAGAGAGAGACAGAGCCAGACCCACAAATGATTGCACCCATGAAAGCTAATACAAAGCAAGGAAGGAACTCACGAACCTTGTAAAGAGTGCAAATATCGATGCACAGAGAGAGGAAGAGAGAGAGACGAAACCTTGCGAGAAAGCAAAATCACCCGTGGTTCCTCGCCGGAGGTGGAGCTTGAATTCTTTTGATTAGAGCTACATAGAAGAAGACGCTTTGACTCTCGCTGCTTTCGTGAAGTGTTTTCGTGAAACGTCGATGTGAGAGGAGTCATGCGAACGAAGGAAAAGGAAAAGGAGAGCGTAGGGTTTCCTAAAAAATAGCTGAACAAGAGAAATCTTATCTGGATCTATCCCACCTCTCCCCTAGAATTTTTTTATCTGATCTATATCCCCTCTATATCCGACGATATCTTGTCCTAAACGTTTACCAAACACCGGATAGGATAAAACATATCATATTCTGATTTTTATCCAGACAACCAAATTCGGCCTTAGGGTATTAGGATTTCTCTTTTTTTGTAAATAAAATTAAATAAATATAGTATATATTATTATATTACCAGTTTGGTCCAGATGGGCAGGTGGGCGGTTCCACACCTGAAATCGGGAACCGTACCGGTTCCCGGTGGAACCACTGGTTTCGGGCCTGTCCAATCGGATTCCAGGCAGTTCCCGGTTCCTTTGCACACCCCTATCGTCTAGTAGCCGGTAAGGGTCTATGGCCATCACTCCAAAAACCACAAAAAAAAGTAAAGAAAAGGAAAAAAAGAAAAAAATCATAAAATTTTCAAAAAATTATTAAAAAATATTCACGTCAGCATTGGCTATGTTATGTAGGACGGTTGGCGTCCACGTTAGCAATTTAGAAATCAAAATTGGCCAGATAAACTCAATTAGCAAAATTGAAAGGTTTAGAACTGAATTGGCTAAGTTTATGACTATTTAGATAATTTTCCCGATTGAGAAAATGATGTGCGAGATTATTTTTTCAGACGAGTTATTACGTGTAATTGAGGGTTGGACCGAGAGTTTTTGGAATGCTCGAATATTATTATAATCTTCGTTGTCTCGCTTGTTCTGAGATGGAATTCTGTGTTGCTTTCCCATGAACGTAGATCATACCAACCGAATCATGTAAATCCGGTCTAATTTACTTCCTTCGCTCTGTCTATTTCATTATTAATATTCGATTCGCTTGTCCTATTCACAACAGGGTAGTTTCTCGAGTCCATCACATAATATTTTTCCCACTTAAGTAGTTGACACGGTGCAGCTATATGACAATCAAAGGCTATGACTGCACAAGTAAAATACCACCGCAGTGCACACACTTCGTGAAACAGAAACCATCCATCCATCTGATTGCATTATGGTGTCTACGAGAAAACCTTGCCCGATACATTCGCTTCACGCATAGTGAGCCCGAAACACATTCACGCTTGTGAATAACTTGAAATACTACTGCTACATGAACCAGCACATTAGAAGAAAAACCCATGTGCATTCTTTTGCCTACGACGAATAAACTTAATTGTGGGATCAAACATAACACATCAGACCAATGATCCCTGAGAGATGAATTGATAATCTAATCCACATAAGAAAAAAAGCCATTTGTTCGGATCATCCTCAGCAACAAAGATGAAACAATCCACCGAGTTGAAAAGTAGAGCCGTCACTCCCAAAAACATACGTGACGGTATGATGCAAATAGTTTCGCCATTTATTCGATAAAGCCGGCAACGGGAATCTCTTTGTAGACAGAACTCAGAGCCCGGGATATTACCCGGACCATGCTCTCTGAGGATTTCCTGAAGAAGGCACACTCAACCTATCGATCACAGAGTTGAAATCCACTGGCTGTCCACTCTCCTCCATTCGCTGAATAACACTCAAGACATGGTCAACTCGGAAACCCATGCTCACCAACCTATCAACCAACTCATTATTGGCATGTTTCCTAATAAACTGCGGCTGTGCCAGATTTTGGACGTTATAAGGGCGTGGTGTGGGCTGCGGATTCTGATAGGAGACGTTCGTCTGAGGATATGCACCTTGAGGTAAGGGAGATTGTTGAAGCACATGGTGCACCCTTCCACCTTCGCCATCGTACACCATATATGCATTCCCCGGAGACATAGAAGGGTTTGGCCCAACAGCTCCAAAACCATCATTGTTCTGCATAATAAAAGTACTTCGAATAGCCTGAGGTGGAGGCGGCGGCTGCTGCTGCTGAATAGTTCTACCAGGACCACCATATCCAATGGCCATATTCTCAGGACGACCAGAAGCTGTTGCTGGAATTCCTGAATATTGAACTGGCATATGTACACTGCTCAGTGGTGCTTCTTTAGGAGCTAGTGTTGTCGGTTGGTTCGGTGGACAGAGAGGATACACCGTTGATGGTGCTACAATCTGGGCTTCTGCAGATGACTGTTGCTGTGGTGGCACTGGCGCCTGCTGTTGTAATGGCTGAGACCACTGCTGCTGATAATGAGATAATGATTGAGGCGGCAACGTCTGATGCACTTGTGGCTGCATAGGCTGTGCCGGAACGCTAGATACACTTTGCAGTTGAGGAGATTGGCGAGCACAATATTGAGGATCAGAAGGCAAATATTGTGTCCGAGTCATGTGTGTTGGGGCTGCCATAGTTTGCATCTGCACAGGAGGCAAATAGTAGGAGTGTGGTTGAGACACATTTTGAGGAGGAGCCTGTGAGGTAAGTGGCTGTGGCTGCGGCTGCGGCTGCGGCTGCTGCTGCGGCTGCGGCTGCGGCTGCGGCAATATTTGATGAGGCAGTGCTAAAGCCAGTTGCTGATTCGATGGATCAGACATACATTCAGTCTTTTTGATATCAGAGGCAGGGGATTTCTCCTCATTGGTTTGAGATTGGCCTGAAGAGGAGGAATCTTTCCGCACAAAATGAAGCTTGGCCAGTTCTTTCTGAGTTTCAGCAAGTTCTTGTTTGTCTCTCAGGATCTGAACTGATCTATGAACCTGTAACGGAATAGGATAGTTACAATCATATTTCTGGAGCTCAAGCATAAAGAGAGAGGACAGCTTAACTAAGATTAACACGTGGCACAATCATGAAACCCTACATCTGACAGATCACAGTTAACCATCATAACCATCTCGATTCACCTTGCAGTATCGAGCAAGATGAACTTTTCCCACAAGCAACTGTTCTTAGTCAATATGACTTTATTGATGCTTAACCCACTTTCTATGATTGTGGAAGCCTTTTATCAGGACATTGTCCATCTTATCACATATTGTCTGACAGACATGTTTGAAGAATTTTACGTCGAGTATCAAGATGGACTTTAATCCAAACTCCAAATCCCATTTCGAATTTTATCAAGAAATTGCCCATTCTTAAATGAGCAATTGCATGATCCAATAAAATGATCCCAGATCTCACCACACAATTTGAGAACCATAACACTCAGAATAAGGCCATAATAAAACATCTGCGCTGTCTTACAATTAAAATATGTAAGGTCAGATAAAACATCCACATGCAAGATAAATACACAGCTAATTAAAATCGAGAGAATCCCCATCAAAACTCAACAGGGATTTTCATAGATGCTTCTTACGTGAAAATAAAGAGAAGCAGCAAAAAAAGGATTGTCCAAAGAAAAAAGATTGGAAACAATTAATCATAAGAGACACAATGACTCACCTGACAAGAAAAGATACCACAAACTCTACAAGGCCTAACATAGGTTTTTCTCCAACAATACACCAACCCTAATGACATTAAAAGGAAAGATGTTCACCGATGTCAAATCTCGCCTACTCAGGCAAGTAGAACCACCCCACAGAAACTTAAGCCATAACTGAAAAAGGTAAAAATGGGAATTTTCCTAGTGTAGGGAATTGAAAAGTCCAAATTTATCAACTAAGTCATTAGCAAAGGTAACTGAACTTCTCACGGAGTATCCGTGGGGCAAATCTTTCCCTAAATTGGGCCAACAGTCTGATGGACTCACACGGCTGACCCCCAGCTGCACCATCTCAGACTGACTATGTACTGAAGAGGCTTGTAGGATTAAGTATGAATTACCTCTCACCAAGTGAACTCTTGAATACATTGCAAGTTAATTATACAAACAAAATTATATTTTCGGAAGCAACTCACCTCCTGAACATGTTTCTCAAGAGATTTGAGCTTCGCATCTGCTTCATCATGATCACGGGTCAATTCAGATCGCATTTCCCCAATTGACTTGTCAAGATTGTAGCAATATAATTCCAACTGCGACAACCGAGAACTGATTCCCTCAAGAAAGCGCATGATACTGTCTGCATTTCTTTTCATGCTTTTCTCAACTGTGGAAACCAAGTCCTGAATTAGAGAATCTTCTGGCTGGCTACAGGAAGGGGGGGCATATGTCACTGGTCGCACAAGCTTATTTTTATGAAAATCCTGCAAAAAGAGTAACATTGAAATTTCTGAGAGAATATAAGGAGTAAAAGGCCCTTACTTAAGGATAAATTGATTCCAAAAATGAACAGAAGATAGAAGACTCGCAATAGTAAGAATTCGCAGAAGACGAATAGAAGCTATGTCCCTAACAACGAAACCAAATAAGAACATCTCCCATATATACTAAAAGGGCAATGCCTATATAGCAAATCTAATAATTTCATTATATTGAAGACATTCTCTTCAAGCAGATGATTCTGCAATCTGCAAGCGATAAGGTAAAATCAAGAACAAACACTACTCCATAAGTTCCCAACCAGAAATCTTCTTCAATCCAGTGGCATGCATGATGTATACAGTAAAGATGGCAACGACATCACCTCACGTTATATTGATGGCTAGTGGACACAAAAAAGAAAGAACCATGTTTTCAGAATCGTCATATCCTTCAGATAAAAATTACAGAAAAGGCCACTATTTTGAAGGGAAAGTGCCTGCAATCTATAATCACAAACTATTTAAAGATGAATACATTTTACTCATCTCTTCCCACCTCCAGTTTTTAAGATGATTCCAAGGAACTTTCTCGCTTTCGTTCTTTCAACGACCTAACACAGATGAAGATATTGCTACCGGCGTAAGGGGGGGCAATAACACCGAAAAGTTCACACTTAATTACTAATCATATTGCACCACTCATACCACTTCCACAACAGAAATTGCATAAAGCTGAGCAAACTGCAACCGCTCCAACTCCTCCAGACATGACAGAAATCCCCACCGCACAATTCTATCAAACGAAATCGACCCACAAAAGTCACACCCGTTAACCCTAGAAACAAAGCACCTTCTTTTGCCCATCACCGTACATCTCTGCACACAACTTCCGCAGCAAGAACTAATACCGACACCGAACACCAAAACAATCTAAACGAAAAAGAAAGGAAAACAAAGGCAAAGACTTTGAGCTCCAAAAACGACGGGATAGTCGAGACGAGCACCTTGATGGCGCCGGCAGGGATCGGGGGATCGGAGTGGCTCCTGTGGAAAGACTCCTGGTTAGCGAAGTCGTCGTAAGAGCAGAGGATGTCGTCGGCGGCGAAATCGAAGCTGCCCTTGGAGCCGGAGTTGGCCCGACCCAACGACGACCCAGTTGCCATTTTCTCCCGATACGATTGCAGGAACGGAGATTCAGAAGAAAACGAGAATCACCCTGTGGTGGGTCACAGACAGGGTCTTCGTTTTGGGTGTGGAGAAAGACAGGGAGAGCGAGGGAGAGAGAAGGGGGTTGATAAAAGTGGGGGGTAGGGAGGGAGGGTGCGCGTTGTGTGGGGAGAAACGGAGGGGGAAGGTTCGCGTTGCAGGGAGCAGCAAGCTGCTTTTGCTTGGCGAACAAACAAAAGATATAGGTGGGGGTTGCGGGGGGGGGGGGGCGTGGAGAAACGTGTTCAACGTGTGGGGAAATCAAAAGCTGAGATTTTTCCCCGTCATTCGACGTACACCGAAAGTTTTTGTGGATAAGGAAGGAGGTCGGTGACTGTCCGAGCCCGACGCACGAGGACGACGCAGACGGACAGCATCGGTCTCTCCCAGATGCCTTTTGCCTTGCCTTCTAGTAGTCCCGACGCATCCCACAATGTTCATGCGCATCACACACGGTCAAAAACACCTTTCGTTCCTTCCTCTCTTTTTCCCTCTTCTTAGACTTTTCCGAAACGCATCCCCCGGTTGTCTGAAAACTCCATCCAACTCTGACTATCGGAATCGCCAAACCGATTCCAATTTGCCTATTGCTGCCCGTAACAATCCGGTCCGAATACGACAGAGAGTGGTCGTCGGGATTAGAGGATCGGGACAAGAAGTGACTCCTGACAAGCTTCCTAGATAAGTAAAAGGGCAGGAATGAACCAAAATATGCATCGAACGAGGGAGAATTATTCTGGAATATTAAGTGTTTGTGCGTGTAAAAATTGAAATAAATTTTTAGAGGCAATGCTTAAGCGTGCTCAGCCGAAATCATTCCCAGAATAGATTATCTTTTCGGAAAGTGTCTACATGTATGTCAAAGAATAAAACTGTCAGGTTTGTTATGGGATCGCCTACTATTAACATACGCCACCTATAAAAATTGGGGAAGATGGTATCCACAACTTCTAGGCCAATGATTTTGACAGCATTGGCCGAGCACAAGAAACAAGCTACCACTTTATGTCGCAAATCGTCCGGGTCATCGTCACCACCGATCTAGCCATTAGCAGGACCACTCAACTAGAGTCGCGAGAGAACGAAAAACCTCATATCCTTTGCGAATCACAAGCGAAGGTGCCAATCAAATCAGTGCATGATCTGGGCCGAGCATGAGCAGCCGCAGGCCTTTGAACCCGTATTGCGGGCCTGGTGGTCTCTGCAGATTCAAATGCAATTCAAGCTCAGCTCTCACCATAACAAAGATTAAATTGACAATTATAACGTAAAAAGAGAGAGGGGTCATTCGCATCTGATCAACAAGCATCGAGATTTGCCAAACTTTGACCCTCCATTTCGTCCTTTAAAAGAGAGAAACATTAGTTTAATCATCCCCACGAATCCATCCCCGCTCTTTTAAACTAGTACTTGATTGGGGCGCCTTTTCAGGACCAGCACATGCCCTGTCTCTCTCTCTCTCTCTCTCTTTTTCTCTTTACTCCTTCAATCATGTTCATGCATTTGGGGGGATTCCCCTCTTTTCTTCCATTAATTCTTCTTCTTCTTCTTCTTCTTTGGAATCAAATTGGGTGGTCTCAATCTGTCATGGGAAAAAAAAAAAAAAGAACCATCGATCGCTATAAGTGTTCCGACGATATTGCCGCCATGACGAATCTTGAAAAGAGATCTGCGAAAGCACAGCAATACAGTGTGTCACATGATATACGGATATAAATATGTGGATGTAGAGCACAAATAGATGCGGGAGTATCTGCTCATGCCTCCTCCCCCACTCGATCCTCCTTGTATGATTTCTTTTTTTCTAAGAGTTGACATTTGGACGATTTGTGAGTGAATGGATCCAAAAACACATGCTTGGCCCTATTCAAGATCAAGGCTCTCTTTTTATCTATCTTATGCTGAAATATAAAATTGATCCACACTTGGGGGAGAGAACGGCTCAAGTTCCTCTTGACCGAAAGGTTCAACACACCGCGAAACCGGGCACGAGAAAACGTGGAGCTCATTCGTTTGCCTTGACCCCCTTAATGATTTTCGCGGCGTCAACGATACGAACTGTCATGCGATTTTCAAGTTATGATATGACGTTCGCGATGTCAAACGGGAAAAAATCATATATTTTGCTCACTTTTACTGAGCAACGATTCCTTTCCATAATTAAAATCTGTGCGGAACGCGTCATGCCGGTACATGCTCAATGAGAAGCGCTTGCTTTAAAGTATGAAACACATACCGTCACGGTTAATATTCCGGTGTCGGGTCAAAACCATATGAGGTATAAACTAGACATCTTCCGAACCGGCCAAGCACGAATTTACGATGTCTTCTGCTTGTCTGCATTTTGTTGCACTGCAACGCTCTGTCCAAATTGCAGATTGGTCGAAACCATAACAAAATGCGGAAAATCTCCTGGTGAAACAAATGGAGCCAATCGCCAGATGCTTTGGCTTTTGTTTCCATTTCCGACCCTCTTTCTTCGTGATCTATCAGAGACGGCACCGATCTTTTACATAAAATATAAGGTGGAATCGAATCTGAATACTTTATCTACTTTGGTCCTAGAAATTCACAGAAACGAAAAGCTCAAAGTACCTTTGCGTAGAGCACCATTACGTTCAAGAAGTTGAATGCCGCAAAAAGCGCGCCCCTCTATCTCTCTCACTCTCCCTCTGCCATGGCGTGACCATTGATCATGCTTGCCATCTTCAGTCCTAAAAGCTTCACCAAAGCCGACCCTCCACCGCATAACCTGCTCAAAGCCTCGAACGGCCGAGCCCGCGGCTAGAACGCCAACCCAATGAGCCACCGTCCCAACCCGAATCCACCCGTCAACCCGGCGGGTCGAGACCGGCCCGGCCAGCCGCCGCCTGGCGCTGGTGGTGATCGAGAACCGCCATACAACATCGTCCCGGTCCACACCGTCAGCGCTGACCACCCGTCCCTCCGCTTCCCGGAGGTCCGTGCTGTCTGCGCAGCCCTGCGCTCCGTCGGCGACCTCCGCCGGCCGCCGCGCTCCCCGTGGCGCCCTGACTACGACCTCCTCGATTGGCTCCGCCTCTTCTTCGGGTTCCAGGAGGACAATGTCCGGAACCAGCGGGAGCACCTCGTCCTCCACCTCGCCAACCTCCAAATGCGGCTCGCCTCCCAGCCTGACAACATGGAGGCCCTCGACGTCGCCGTCGTCCGCCGCTTCCGGAAGAAGCTCCTCCGGAACTACACCCTCTGGTGCTCTTACTTGGGCAGGAAGTCGAACGTCTGGATCTCCGACCGTCGTGAGGCCGTCTCGGACACACAGCGTGAGCTCCTCTATGTCTCGCTCTATCTCCTTGTGTGGGGCGAGTCGGCGAACCTGCGGTTCCTGCCGGAGTGCATTTGCTACATCTTCCACAACATGGCGATCGAAATGAACAAGATCTTGGAGGATTACATCGACCCGAACACCGGACAGCCCATTTTGCCTTCAGTTTCCGGAGAAAATGCCTTTTTGAATAAAGTCGTGAAGCCGATTTACGATACGATTAGAAAAGAGGTCAATCAGAGCAAGAATGGCACTGCGCCGCACCATGCATGGAGGAACTATGATGACGTCAATGAGTACTTCTGGTCAGGAAGGTGCTTCGCAAAGTTGGGATGGCCGATTGATCGTGGAAGTAGCTTCTTCGCGACTGACGAGAAGAGATATCGAGTTGGCAAGACGGGGTTCGTGGAGAAGAGGACGTTTTGGAACTTGTTCAGGAGTTTCGATCGATTGTGGGTGATGTTGGTTCTGTTTCTGCAAGCTGCTATCATTGTGGCTTGGCAGAATGATAAGAAGTATCCATGGCAGGCATTGAAGAGCAGGGACCTTCAAGTCAAGGTCTTGACTATTTTCATCACTTGGAGTGGGATGAGGTTCCTGCAGTCCCTGCTTGATGCCGGGATGCAGCGCCGCTTGGTGTCAAGAGAAACAATGTTGTTAGGAGTGAGGATGGTGATGAAGATTGTCGTCGCGGGTGTTTGGGTAGTCGCTTTCGGGGTATTCTATGGACGGATTTGGTCGCAAAGAAATGCTGATAAGAGGTGGTCGCAAGAGGCGAACAGGAGATTGGTGAATTTTCTTGAGCTGGCCTTGGTTTTTGTAGTTCCCGAGCTGCTGGGATTGGCCCTGATGATCATTCCATGGATTCAAAATTTCCTAGAGGAAACAAACTGGAGGATCTTCCACCTGTTCACGTGGTGGTTCCAGAGTCGCATCTTCGTGGGTCGTGGCCTTAGAGAAGGTCTGGTCGATAATGTGAAGTACTCTCTATTTTGGCTACTTGTACTAGCCACCAAATTTTTGTTCAGCTACTTCCTGCAAATTAAGCCCATGATCGAACCGACAAAACAGCTCTGGAAACTGCGAGATGTGACATACGAGTGGCACCAGTTCTTCGGCAACAGCAACAGGTTCGCGGTTGGGCTGTTGTGGCTCCCCGTGGTGCTTATTTACCTTATGGATCTGCAGATTTGGTACTCGATCTATTCATCCTTTGTTGGAGCAGCAATTGGGTTGTTAGATCACTTGGGTGAGATCCGAAATCTTGACCAGTTGAGTTTGCGGTTCCAGTTCTTTGCGAGTGCTGTTCAGTTTAATCTGATGCCTGAGGAGCAGCTTTTGCGAACGATAGGAAACAAGTTTCAGGATTTTCTTCACCGGCTGAAGCTGAGGTATGGGCTTGGCAAGCCGTACCAGAAGTTTGAACCTAATCAAATCGAAGCGCTGAGGTTCGCTTTGCTTTGGAATGAGATCATAACCATATTTAGGGAAGAGGATATAATATCTGACCGGGAAGTTGAGCTCTTGGAGCTACCGAGGAGTTCTTGGAGTGTTAGAGTTATTTCCTGGCCCTGTTTTCTCCTTTGCAATGAGCTGTTGCTTGCTTTGGGTCAGGCCAAGGAGCTAGTTGATGCTCCTGACAAGTGGCTCTGGTATAAGATCTGCAAGAACGAGTACAGGCGCTGTGCTGTGATCGAAGCATACGACAGTGTCAAGCACTTGCTGCTCGAAATTGTCAAAGTGAACTCGAAGGAGCATTCCATCCTCACTGTTTTGTTTCAAGAGATCGATCACTCCATCGAGGTGGAGAAATTTTCAAAGCTTTTTAAGTTGTCCGTGTTGCCAAAGATTCACGACAAGTTATCAGAGTTGGCTGAGCTATTGAAAGATTCAGGGAAAGATTTGGACAAAATTGTGCACACTCTGCAGGCCCTTTATGAGATTGCTATTAGAGAATTTTTCATAGAGAGGCGGAACAACGATCAGCTGGAGGAGGATGGCTTGGCTTCTGGCAGTGGATTGCTTTTCGTGGATGCAGTTGCATTGCCCAATCCAAGTAATAAGAAGTTCTATAGGCAAGTTCGTCGCTTGCGCACCATTCTGACTTCAAGGGACTCTATGCACAACGTTCCTTCGAATGTGGAGGCTAGACGGCGAATTTCCTTTTTCAGTAATTCACTATTTATGAACATGCCCCACGCACCCCAGGTGGAGAAAATGTTGGGTTTCAGCGTTCTGACTCCTTACTACAACGAAGAGGTAGTGTACAGCAAAGAGCAGCTTCTCAAAAAGAACGAAGATGGAGTTTACATTTTGTTTTATTTGAAGACTGTATATCCTGATGAGTGGAAGTATTTCATTGAGAGAATGCTCAGAGAAGGAAAGGTGACAAAGGCCGATGAGGACGACGAAACAATGGCCAAGTTGAGAGATCTTAGGCTTTGGGCGTCATACAGAGGCCAGACACTTGCTCGAACAGTGAGAGGAATGATGTATTACTATCGAGCACTTAAGATGCTGGCTTTTCTTGATTCTGCATCGGAGGTGGAAATTCGGGAATTAGTAAAAAGACTGGACTCGATGGGGCACGATGGCAGCGTGAACAGTTCGGAAGAGTCGCCTTATTCCCAGAGTTTTAGTACTAGTATTAGTACGGTCAATCTTTTGTCCGAAGACCATATATCCGGCACCGCTGCGATGAAATACACATACGTGGTCGCTTGCCAGATTTATGGGTCTCAAAAGGCAGAGAAAGATACCCGTGCAGAGGAAATATTGAACCTGATGAAAAACAATGAAGCGCTCCGAGTAGCTTATGTGGATGAAGTCTCCACCGGGAGGGGTGAAAAGGAATACTATTCTGTTCTGGTCAAGTACGATCTGCAACGCCAGAAGGAAGTAGAATTATACAGGGTCCAATTACCTGGTCCCTTGAAGCTTGGAGAGGGAAAACCAGAAAACCAGAACCATGCGCTCATTTTCACTCGTGGCGATGCCGTCCAGACTATTGATATGAACCAAGACAACTATTTCGAGGAGGCACTCAAGATGCGGAATCTGCTGGAAGAATTCAAGACGTACTATGGCATTCGGAAGCCTACCATCTTGGGGGTTAGAGAACACATCTTCACTGGTTCAGTTTCTTCGCTTGCCTGGTTTATGTCAGCTCAAGAGACGAGTTTCGTCACATTAGGGCAACGCGTCTTAGCTAATCCTTTAAAAGTTCGAATGCATTATGGCCATCCAGATGTTTTCGACAGGTTTTGGTTCCTAAGCAGGGGCGGTATTAGCAAAGCATCCAGAGTGATCAACATCAGTGAAGATATTTTTGCCGGATTTAATTGCACATTGAGAGGAGGCAATGTCACACACCATGAGTACATACAGGTGGGTAAGGGAAGGGATGTTGGATTGAATCAGGTATCGATGTTTGAAGCCAAGGTTTCTAGTGGTAATGGTGAACAGGTCATTAGCAGAGATGTCTATCGGTTGGGGCATCGGCTTGACTTCTTCCGGATGCTATCCTTCTTTTACACCACTGTCGGGTTCTTCTTTAACACGATGATGATCATCTTGACAGTCTATGCATTTTTATGGGGCCGGCTCTATCTTTGCCTAAGTGGGCTTGAAAAGGCCGCTGCAAGCAACAGCAATGACAATAAAGCACTCGGTACAATTCTAAATCAGCAATTTATCATCCAACTCGGTCTATTTACCGCACTTCCTATGATAGTTGAGAATTCCCTCGAGCATGGATTTCTTCAAGCTATATGGGATTTTTTTACCATGCAGCTCCAGTTATCATCCGTTTTCTACACCTTTTCTATGGGAACTCGTGCCCACTACTTTGGCCGGACCGTTCTTCATGGTGGTGCGAAATATCGTCCCACAGGACGTGGATTTGTCGTGGAGCACAAAAGTTTCGCAGAGAACTACAGGCTCTACGCGCGTAGTCACTTTGTGAAGGCAATTGAACTTGGCCTAATACTCACAGTTTATGCATCACACAGCCCTACCTCAAAAAGCACCTTCACTTATATAGCCCTGACCATCTCAAGTTGGTTCCTTGTTGTTTCGTGGATTATGGCTCCTTTTCTGTTCAACCCTCTTGGTTTCGATTGGTTGAAGACAGTGTATGACTTCGACGAGTTCATGAACTGGATATGGTTCCGCGGCGGTGTGTTTACTAGAGCTGAAGAGAGTTGGGAAGTCTGGTGGTATGAGGAGCAAGATCACCTGAGAACAACAGGTCTTTGGGGAAAACTAGTAGAGGTAATCTTGGATCTCCGCTTCTTCTTTTTCCAGTATGGGGTTGTATACCAACTCGGAATCACAGCTGGAAGTAAAAGTATTGCCGTTTACTTGCTCTCTTGGATTTGCATTTTCGTAGCTTTTGGGGTCCATGTGCTTATATCACATGCCAGGGACAAGTACGCGGCGAGAGAGCACATCTATTATCGACTTGTGCAGTTCCTCATCATTACACTAGGAGCACTCGTGTTAGTTGCATTGCTGAAGTTTACGCAGTTCAAGTTAATTGATCTCTTTACCAGTTTGTTGGCATTTCTCCCCACCGGATGGGGCCTCATATTGCTAGCACAAGTTCTTCGACCGATTCTGCAGCGTACTAGGATCTGGGACAGTGTTGTTTCTGTAGCTCGACTGTATGATATAATGTTTGGAGTACTTGTCATGGCTCCGGTAGCTGTGTTATCATGGATGCCCGGGTCCATGCAGACACAGATTCTATTTAACCAAGCATTTAGTAGAGGACTCCGGATTTCACAGATTGTCACGGCAAAAAAACCAAAGGTTCACTTATGAATGTAAGCAGATTTTGTCGCCAGACATTTCAGAAAGACTGATTTGGCTTGCTTAATAGTTTCTTCCCTTGTTTCTCGTGTTAAATAGTAGAAATCCATTTGTCTGTAGCATGTAGGGATCTTTTCCTCTTCATGAGATGTAGCTCTGTTGGTAACCGTTTGACATGATGATGATGATGCATACTTTTCCTTTTTGTCCTTGGTTTTAATTCCTTTCAACTGTCACTAGCTTCTTGCTGGTTGAACTTGGTGGTTGAACTTTGGCTCCAATTTATTCGAACTTCTTAATCATCTTAGGTCAAACAAGGTGGGCAAGTGAAGCTTTTTACAGTCTTCTTTTCTCGAATGGCTAGTGAACTCTGGAATGGTAAAGCTGCTGGAATGAGAGATTAGAAACTCAAACCCGAGCTCGGAGATATTCAGAGCATCGAATAAGCTAAGCCCTTGAACTAGTTGGGTTGGGTGGGTTGGGGCAAAGTAGCATCTGATCAGAGAATATATGCTGTTTCTGCTATCCTCAAGTGTTTCTGTTACCTCAAAACTTTTAAGAACACGAGCAACTGAGGGCTTTCCTGCTGCGTAAGTTCCGGGCGAAACAATCCTAGCACGAACTTCGATATCGTCCACGAGCGACCAATTCCTTTTCCACGCCACATTTTTCGACATCCACAGGATGTGCGATACCATTTCCTTCCTCTCATGGATTTACTGGAATGCACATTAAACCGAGAACAACCAGATGCCGCATATAGAGACTTGCTCTAAACTCACTAAACAGCGGTTTGGCAATCTATTGCACAATACACATTAAACCGACAACAGCCGGATACGAGGCTTTCCCTTACACCTATAAACAGACCACCGGACCCCTTCCACAACCGACGTGGGACAACCTCGACAACCTCCACATCAGCTGGATTCGTTTGCCGTTGCACGCGTGAGCTGTCGGACTTCAGACAATACCGCTCAGAAAGAAAAGCCCAAGCCCAAGCCCAAGCCCACAATCTTGTAATCCATTGGCGCCAACTCTTCCCGCCCTCACTTCCCGCCAGCTGACCGACCTCCCTCCGCCTCCCTCCTCCTCCTTCTCCTCTATAAACAAAACTCCCACCGCGCATCTCGTCACTCGTCACAGCCACCACAGCTCTCTCTCTCTCTCTCTCTCTCTCTCTCTACATACCAAGATCGCCATGGTGATCCCTCTAGGCCCCGGCAAGTTCTACGGCAGCAGCCTCCCCCGGCCGCGCTTCCTCAGGGACGACGCCAACCGGGTCAGCCCGCCGGCCCCCGTCCTCGACCCGCTCCTCTCGTGGGCCAGCGAGGCTCACTGGTCGATGGGCGGCCTCAGCTTCCAGCGCCTCCGCCTCCAGGGCCGCATCGAGGGCAGCATCAAGAAGCTCCGTGCCGAGCGGGAGAGGTCGGTCCGGGTGGCCAAGGGCAAGATCTCCAAAACCAAGCCGAAGTCGGCTTCAGATCTCAAAGCCTCGAGGACCCAGGTCGACGACGGCAGGAAGAGGGCCGGTTCTGTCTCCCCGCCTCCGGCGCCCGTGGCAGTGAAGAGGAGGAGGTACGTGGCTTTGGTCGACGAAAGCGAGGAAGAAGAGGAAGACGAGGCGGAGCGGAAGGGGGAGGAGAGAGAAGTTCGCGTGGAGCAGAAGAGGCCTGCGAGGAAGCTCTACGAGGAGTTCGACCGAGTGGCCAAGGAGAGCGAGAAGGCCAAGAGCAAGGGTTCCGATGCTGCTTCGCCAAGGACGCGGGCGAAGAAAGGCGGAGGTGGCGTTGGCGATGAGGTGATGAAGGTGGTCGAGGACGTGAACAGAGAGGTCGTGGAGGAGGGCATTGGCGAGAAAAAATCGCAGAAGAAGAGCGGCGGCGAGAGCGCGAAAAGGGTTTCTCCGAGATCGGCGAAGGGCTTGGAGACCAGTCCCGGTGGCGCGGCTGCGACCAGAACTTCCCCGAGATTGGCCAAACGTGGATAGATTATGTGAATTTGTGCTCATGTGATTTGATCTTGTCTTTGCTCATGTTCGAGCGCGGTGTCATAGGAATTCTCTTATGTTTCTTCCTTTTTTTCCCTTTTGTTCGGTTTTTCGGTTTCTTTTTTTTTTTTTTCTTCCTGTCTTAGGATTTTAGGCAGCTTGATGACTAACCCGTCTAAATAAATGATTGAGGAAACAAGTGTTTCTGGGAATGCTGATCTGTGGAGTCTTACCTAGTCCGCATCGAGTTATGTGCTCAACCGGGTATCTGCTTCAAGTGATCAATCTTTATCATCGATGGAGAATTTCTGCCATGTGATGACCGCTGGCGAAAGAGATGTAGTTTCTACTGCAGAAATGGTGAACTTGAATCACCTACCTTAAACCTTTCTCTGATTCGGAATCTGTGCGCAAGCAAAGCAATGCGCTTGTTTCGATACAGATATATATACTCTCGAGCTTATCTGCCTCAATGTCTTACTATTTGATCATATGTTCTGACAGGACCTGTAACTGCTGATGTTCTGAAGTAGGGGGTTTTGCAAGGTGTTCTCAAGATCTAACACAGTATGAAAGTTCTTGTTTTTGCTTAGTCTCGACCCTTAGGACTCAGCATTGGCCACAACTCGGGATGACGCTGATTCACTTTGCCTATGGATGGAACGAGCCACTAGTCTAGCTGCTGGCAAAACATGCTGTAGTTTCAGAACAATAAGAAAGGCTTCGAGGTTCAAGCCTGCTATTATTATTACCCTTGTGCAAAATACATGAATTCAAACTTGTTCCAAGCCGCAGAATGATAAGTACGCCAACTGAACGGAATGAAGAATGAATGTGGGAAATTCACCTTTTCTATACTCCAGTCAGATTGATTATATCTTCGGATATACAGGAAAGGGGAGTCTCTTTATACCAGATTTTGCTTCTTGGGTTGGGCGCTGGTTCTGTCATTCATGACAAGCTCAACATAGGTACATTCTCTACCACATCCTGTAGCTCATTGTGCTGTATATATTCATACTGTGAACTGCATAGCAAACCAGGAAAGCATGGAGCAATGCATCGACTTCACATTTTATAATGACCCAAAGCCATGTCATTCCCCCCTTAGATGAATTTGGATATGCTATTATATTATCCCTTCATTTGCCCTGCAGGCACAGTTCTCTCAAGCTTCCCTTCAGTTTCTTCAATCCGCCAAGAGCAGCCAATCTGCATGAATGTTCCGTTATCAGTTGATATGTAGATGGTCTTTGCCACGGAACAATCCCGAAATCGTCGTTGTATTCTTCCATCCCTCCGACCAAGAACTGCCACACAAAAGAACCTGCCCCTGCCCCATTCTTCCTGGCAGATGCATAGATTTCGTCGAAGATGGTCTTGAAAAATCGATCCCGCTGAGATGGATGGAAATTCGGGTTCTGGTTTGAGTATCCAAATTCAGTGAACATCACCGGCCTTTTCAGTTCCCTGTCACCATCATCAATGTGGGAACGAACCCACTTTGAGACGAACTTTAATGACTCCTCGAATTCTAGCTCATGGAACCTACCAAAAAGAGATGAAATCACATAACTTGCCACTTAATTTTCCATATGAATGAAGATACAACTGTTCATAATCGAATTGATACTGATGGAATTTGTACCAGTGGTCAGGGTAGATATGAGCCGAAGCAAAATCGATATTTGGGAGATTGGAATTACGAACAAAATCTGACCCATAAAGGGCTGCCCAGTCTGCCGGGTTCACAGTTAAACTTTTGGGGCTTTTAGGACCATAAAATCCTTCAAGGCCCACAGTCAGTAGATGCTTCTTGTCAATTGATCTTACAAATGTTGACATTTCCTCTAACCAGTCCTGCAATTAAGACCATTACATAAATGGGTATCCTCCTAACGATCAGTAATTGAAGGAGTTGATAACAACCACAGATCGCCCCAATGACGCTACTAGAAAAGAAAATCAAACGTTTGTACAGTAAGAAGATCCCAACCTCGAGCAACCATTTTGTCAACCTAAACTGGACAGCTACACCAAAAAAGTGTATATCCATAATTCAAACATTTCTTTTAGTTGTTTAAGCTTATCATTAAATTTTATAGAGTATTATGGATTCCGCTTGAAGCTTTTTTTCCATCCAAAAATTCTAGAGGTCAGCAAACACAAGTAAAACAGATGCACTGCCAGTGTCCCTTCAACATCCGCATAGTTCCAGCAAAACAAAGCACAATACTGTAATCAAGAACCACGTATTTTGTAGCATTCACCCCAATGATGAATTTTGCACAAGTCCAATTACCATTACGCTGTAAATTGAATAAAACAAAGCACAATACTGTGATTAAGAACCACGCATTTTGAAGTAACATTCACCCCAATGATGAAATTTGCACCAGTCCAATTACCATTCTGCTGTAAAATGGAAAAGCTTGGTATGGCAAAATTATTATCTGATTATAATTTAGAAAGGTGATGCCAGATGGTACCAAAGAAAGGGCTTTACGAGTAGGAGCCTTACGTGAAGGGTGTCCCCTGCAGGATCTGTCATACAACGGGGTTCATTCATCAACTCCCATCCAAATATGGTTGGATCATCTCTATATTCGACTCCGGTAATGGTATTCTTCCTGGTTAACACAGTCTAAAGAAAATAGAGACTCAATTTTTGCACCATGATTGCAAAACTATTATGCATGCATTATCAAGTGTAAGGAAAAAGGGCTGTCTCTAAAGCAATAGAAAGATGAGGCTGTCTTAATAGTAAATTAAGCACTGCAGATGGATACCAAGCAAAAAACGTTGTGCTTAGTTAGTTGTACTAGTCTACGATTTCTAGATGCATTTATTGCTTAGAATAACTGTTCTCTATGTAAAACTCAACATCCACTAGCTTGACTTCAGTTAGAATACATCACTATGCATAGGGAAAATGTTTTTCTGAAGAAATGAATTGAAAAGCCATATTCCTATCCATGTGTAATATCCTAAAGTATTTTCCATTTTAACAAGTGGCCTCTTCCATGCTGTCAGGGCATTTCCATAAATATTTTGCTTTTCCTTCGAAAAAAAATGCCATGGGATAGGAAGAACATAAAATCTCGATTGTTCAGATAGAGGCAATCGAAGCACTCTTGTCAGATAAGGCAGAAATTACCAGCAAGTAAACTACCTTGACAAAATTTTTGTAGTACTGGCGAATGGAAGGATCATAGAAGAAGGAATCATTGGACGAGCTCAAGCCAATGCCTTCTTCCCATGCCCACTTGACATATTGAGTCTTTCCGCCAAATGCTTGCAAGTTATTAACTAAACTGAGAAGCAACCTGATTCCATATTGATTTGCCTCTGCAATTACATGATCCAGAGCCTGCCGCACAATGCCAATATCAAATCAGAAACCAATGACAAGTAGTAAAAGCAGAATACAGCTGGACAGCTGCAATTTAAAAAATATGAGAACAGAATCTTTCATGGAGTTATTTTAACCATTTATCTTTGGTATTCAGGACCATTTTTTGCATCAGTACTTGTAGTAGTCATAGCAATGTTAAAGAGGTAGCTGGTAGTTTCCACCCATGAATAGAATTTTTTTACCTTCAGGATTCTTTTAATTTAGATCGTTCCTCCAATGCATGTAGCATTCCACTAGAGACTATGTTATGTATGAAGTGACTCAATAGGTTAAGCAGTGAAATGCATACCGCGGCAAATAATAATGGAAATCTGCGATTTCAGTGCTGAAAAAACGGCAATGGGTTTTGTCTTACTCAAGAAGATATTAAAGGGAAAGAAAACTACATATAATTGGAATCGATATGGTAATTAATTTGGACCATGCTTCTCTAAATAGAGAAGATAAGTCTCGAGAATTACTTTACTAATCTTCATGCGGGGGAAAAGAATCACTTGAAGTACAGAATGCATTGGGTGCCACGGCTCATCTTGGGTGGATTTGCTGTATTCGAAAATTCAATTTTAGATGTTAAGCAATCTCCATCAGTCCTCCAGTATGACCTCATGGATTAGCTGTTCTCAGTCCTTAAGCCGCTAATCTCCTTCTTTCCCTTTGTTTTGGTAGTAAGTACCTTAACTGATGTTTAATCTAGCTCACTTCAAACCATTTCACTTTATTTCTAAGACCTACTTACATAGAATCCAATCAAAACTTAAAGCCTAATCATAACTGAAGCAGATCACGGCAGCAAATAAATTAGGATCTTGGATCTCACTGCCATATTGGCATTACAGCAACCATAATGTTGACTTGACGATTAAAATAATAGATAAGGGATTAAGAATAACCATGATTATTTAATCAAGGGATGCCAATTCGGCACGAATTAAGTATTTTTTTTTACCTGAAACACTCTCTCATCAAACTGACCAGGGGAAATCTGTAGAGCATGGTAAGTATTGTCATTGAAAGCCCAGGTCCTGCAAACCGTGAGACCCATCCGCGCACCGGCTTGCAGCATCGTCCTAACCCTAGGCCTGCTGTATTCGTCCACCGCCTGGTCCATCAACCAGTAAGAATTCCACCCATTCACGTAGAAAACCTTACCATCCACCACAAACTGTGTCCCATTTCTTGCCACGAAGTCCATCTTCTTCCCCACATAAAAATTGAGCCTGAAGTCGCCAAACGACAAGTAAATGAATGCCACACAGGATGCAAACCCCACAATTGGGCAGAACAGCCCGTTCCTCGCAACCACTCTCGATGTCATAGGGTTGGCAGCTTCAAGAAGATGTTGATTGATGCAGAATTTCACAAATTGAAGGGGTTTTGAGGTACCCTTCTGGCTCTACGTCAAGAAAGAGTCCGAATCATGAACAGCCAAACGAAATTTCCACCTGCCAAGACTGAAAATGTGACGGTACGTTGACAAGAAGCTTATTTCGGGAGACCAAGATCCCTTTCGGCACTGAATTCCTCACAAGAGCGACGCTTGGATGATAGAAAACGCCGCAACGAGGCTGAAAATCACGTCAGGCCCACAGAGAGGCGCTTACAACAGCCAAATTTGAGGACTTGCTGCGAATGCCGATGAGTCTGAAATGAGGAGAAGCCAGAATTCAGTAACGTGAAGTCAAGACTCGCACTTCGCAGATTACCCGTCACTCCTCACAGCGAGAGAGAGAGAGAGGGAGAGAGAGGGAGAGATATTGCATGAACCCGGTTCCCGTGTAGGACAATTTTATAGGGAAGTGTGTAAAGGTTGTCTACGCAAGGAAACTATTGAGTGGACCGCAAAAGGAAGTGAGAGGCAGCACATCGAACCAGGGCCAACGCGTAGAGAGAGAGAGAGAGACAGGTTCACTTTTGTTTCAAGAGCCGTCAGAGAAACTCAGTTGAGAGAGAAACTTTGCTGGTGAAACAAGTATGGTGGCGTGTTAGCTTCAAGCCCTTCACGGTTAAAGGAGGATGATGGATCTGGAGCACCTGTTTCCACAGCTCTCTTTCTTCTCTCTTTGCTTGGGTTATAATGTTTTGGACTGACCGAAGGCTAGAGGCTGTTCAACGGCAGTCCGTGGATGATGGGGGCATTTGGGCCATGATCAGGGGGTGGATGTGTACCTCTCGTTCTCCCTCACCAAATCAAAAAGCAACAGATCACATAGCTCTCAATTCAACAAAGAAAAGCAGGCCAAAGAAAAGATTTTTGTACCTCTTTCGCACTGAGTTGTTTGGTTCTGCTGTGGTGCAAGCCAAGTGAAAGTAATTGCTGGCTGTATGTAGCGTTTGTATTCTTTCGCAGGTGGTTTTGCCCTGGCGCTATTCATGGAGCAAACCGACAAGATGATTCGAGCATCATTGAGTTATGGGCAAGGGATGATGCCCCGTGATGACCAAGAACTCACAATTTCTCCTTTTTCAGAGCTGTGATTCACACGGTCCGATTCAATCTTCTCTTTTTTGCTCTTTCCGCTCTCTTTTTTCCCATTCGACGTGTTCTGTATTTACTCATTTCCTATCTGGGGTGACATTTCCTTTGTGGGTTTCTTCTGTAATCCAACCCTGAATGAATTTCCTGAAAAAATTGCTGGACCGCACTGCCATGTGCTGTGCATAATGAAGCAAGCTTAGGTTAGCACTTAGCAGCACAAATTGGTCGGCATTTAAGTTAATTTGATGCTGGAGATGGCTACAATTACATTTCCAAGAAAAGCAGCTTAATGATGAAACCCCCCGCCCCACCAAAAAACAAAATGGAAAGCGGCTTAATACCAAGTATAACCAGCCAATCAAGCCGCAGATTTTGGAAGAAAATGAATGAATTTGCCCACTCAGGCAAAGAAAAGCCAAAAAGAAAAGAAGACAGAAAAAAGGAAGGATGTTTCCATCACTGAGAAAAGGGAGATGTTAACCACACAAAGACCAGAAGTCATCGTCGGTCGACGGTCACTTCCCCTGAATTAGCAGCGACCAGATATTGCCATCCGTCCTCGTTCAACTGTCTTTGAACCGCTAATCTACCCGCTAACTGCTCCAACTTGACGGCTTGATTATTATAATTTTTCTTAATTACGAGTCAAGTTCGTGACTGACTTTAGTATTGCTTCAGAAATTCGAGTTTTAGGGCCTGATCTAGATTTCCCTTTAACAACTAAATCGAGTTTCAATGTGCATCGGACTTTATATCCTGGATCGTTCAGATTAAACAGTATATTATGCCGAAGAACGAATAGAGGACTTCAAAAGTTAAATGTATTTTACAAATCTGCAAATTTTCGCTTTTTTCTTAGACTTCTAGCATGCCGTGTCAAGTGTGATCAATGGTTTTCGCTCTCCATTGCGGATTTTAATTGTGCGCAACGACTCAATTGCTCCGTTGGCGAGGATGGTCATGCCTACAAAGTGAATTTTTCCGTAATCTCATGATAAGTTGCCTCAAGAAGACAGTCATAAAAAGCAATACAAATTGCACATAATCGGTTGAAAAAGTGCTGCCCTATTATTAGTTGGTGTAAAAACAGACGAAACAACAGGTCCAGTTACAAAAGGTAATCACAAACAAGATGACACAATAGTGTATCATAATATTATGTCTTTATTAGCGAGTGTCGGGAGACACTAATTAAGATTATTAAAATTGGTAAAACGTATATCAATGTGTTTTATACATTAAAAAAAAGAACGTACTTCATAAAGATTGATATGTTTTAAACAAAAACGGTAATCTCAATGAATAATATTAGGTACTCTAAGAAAATTGGAATTTTGCATGAGCTCATTTAATTAAGAGAGGAAAAATAATTAATTTTTTTTAGGCTTCCGCCAATAAGTTCTCTACAAGCAATTAAAAGGCTGTGCTTGGGCCTGGACAAAGTTATGGGCGACCATATGCTTCTTTGCACTCAACCAATATCTACCCTCTTTGGGAAAATATGTCTCGATTTTGGACTAATAAGAAAGCTTGGAATGTGGTACTTGCCTTGATTCGAATCCAGATAAACATGATCAATTTTTTTAGCAAAAAAATCGTAAATATGATTAATTATATTATTTTTATCTTGTGGATTTCAAGTGAAATTTGTAAGAATCGATGAATTTAGTTACACATAATTTATAGGCACGGTCCACGAATATTTGGTGACCAAATATGCATCAACAGATGGAGATAATTTGGTGGTGTGATTGCTTTTTGTCCTTTTTGCCTGAATTCGGTTCAGCATGATATGATTACTAGGATTCTTCTCATTTTGGATTTCTGAGATTGATAATTTCTTCCCCAAGTCAATATTATAACCATTGCATGCACATGTCGGCACCCGACAGGCTTTAATAAGGACAGAACACACTACATTCGCTGTCCTTCTACAAAGACAAAAGCATCAGATCTGATATCTAAGTTGAAGCAAAGAATCAAATGGGCGAGCTGACTTTCCATTAATATAAAGCTTTTGCCACGTTCCTAAGCTAAGCATATGAGTTCCACACCGGGTAAAGAATGCAATCCGTGCTGCCGAAAGAAGTTAACATCAGGGGTGATGCATGTGTTAAGCGACGCGCTGACTTGATATCGCTAAGTTAATTTTGTTTCATTTTTTAGGACGTGGATTTCGAGATAAGTTCAACGGTTAGCATTTTCACTTGGTTCTGCTATGGTGATTTTTGTATCTTCCCATTCCTGACGCACCCGATCGACCGTCCCTAGAAATGGCATAGTATCCAATCTCATTGCAATAGATGAAGTTAATCACCGACGAAAGATATACCGCTCTGTAATTGTATTGGACCTCGCTAAGAAGTGATTTCATACCGGAAGGTCTCAAAGCCATCCGAAAGCACATTTCTTTTTTCACCAGTTAAAACGTCGATGCCACGCGTAAGCTTTCTATGGAGTATGGCACTATTCTAGTTGCGAGTTTTGCTGACCTGAAAATCTTCCATGGCCTTGCCTTAACATGAACTTTCCCATGTTCAGACACAGTTCAATCATCGACAAGGCCAACTAAGGATTTTCAAATTCTATTGGTGAGCTACTTCTTTCGCAGCATCTATCCTCTCTGTGTCCTGTGTTCGAACTTCTGCTAACCAAACTTATTCCCCAAAACGTGAAAATTAAAGTGACGACTCACTGTACGCAAACCGTGTGCGAACGATGCAGAAGAAGAGAACACAAACTTGGAGAGCCATTGGGTTTTTGGTAAAATTGGTGACCGTGGCACAAGAGACGACCATGAACAGCTTCTCTGCAGCTTCACTGGCCAGGTTATATGAAATCGGAAACGACGAACAGCAATTGTGGAAACAAAATGATTCAAGTAAACACCAGAGAAACATCATCAAAATACGAGACTCAGCAAGCAAGATCGTGATATTGGCAAGAATTTACAAGAGCTAGCCATCGAAAGTTACAGGGAGTTCCCTCGCTTCTGAGCATACCCATTTCAAGATCCTCCTCTCACCCCCCAAAAAAAGGGAAAACAAGAACTCGTCACAAAGAAGACCCAAAGAAAAAAAAAAGTGAACTTTCCCAATTGTCTCTCGCCAAGAACCCCCAAATCCCTAATTTCTTCCCAAGAAAATGAATAATCCACCGACCTGAACGTGTCACGGCTCGAATTCTATCACATCAGTCACCCTCAGCGTTCCTCTTGACAAGAGCGAAGTACCCAAGAACAGCACAAACCGCAGCCACAATATTCCCTTCCCTGAGCAGAACCTTGCACACCAGCCCAACGATCTCCTTCGTTATCTTCCTCCCTTCCAGGACCAGAGCCCTCTTGGGCTTCCCGAAGAAGGCCAGCAGCACCACGACCGATATCCACGTCACCAGCATCGCCGGGACGGCGACGGCGAGGGCGGCGACCATCGAGAGCACCCCGAAGACGGCGCCGAGGAGCACCGACGCGTAGAGCGCGGGCCACCCGGACGACGGGTGCTGGTGGGCCTGCGACCTGTACCAGGCGAGGATGGACTTGAGGGAGTTCCAGGAGGAGGACAGGAGGGCGGCGTACACGAGCACGAAGAGGCACGCCCAGGTCCGCCGCTTGCTCATGATCTTGAGGATCAGAGGGTACGACGACGGCGCCTGCTGCGCCGCGGCGGCGGTGGGGGACGGAGGCGGCGGCGGCGGCTCTTCTTCCTTGTCGGCCATGGCGAGAGAGAGGGAGGGGCTCCCCCGACAAGAACGACCGAAGGGGACAAAAGGGTCGTTCGATTCTTGCCTTTCCGGGTCGCTGACCAGGCTCTTGGTCTGGGAGACAGTGATGATGATTCTGCTGGGGCTTGCTCCCCTTCTGGGTGTTGGACGAATTGGATCTTGGGTTCTTCTGGGGAGCTTTTCTTGATCTGCTGCTGCTGCTACTTTCCCTTTCGCTGTTCTTGGCGTTCTAGCTGCGCCCTGCGTATCTGTCCGAGACGATGATGCCCGAAGCAGAGATATCTGTGTGTAAGAAAAAGCAGGGGCGGGGTGGAACCCACGCGCGTGGCGAGGGCTTCCCCTTATCGAGTCAATTTTGGCATTGACTTGAGAATGGGGGCAATTCGGGTTAGTTAAACGGATTCTCTAATCAGTGATTATTATTAATTTAATCCCGTTTTTCAAGTTCCTTAGAGAATTTGCGGGACCAATTGGAGAGTTACAACCATACAAATTCATCGAAAGTAACTAATGGCCTTACTTATGTCGCTAGTCGAGGATGAGTAAATTGCATCGGTACGAGATTTTTATCGGTCTATTGTCGGTATAGGAAGTGATGTGTGCATTTACCGTTTGATTATTGAGGGATTACTAATCATTTAAATGATTAAACTTGAATTTTTGTACTCAAAGAAGCTAGCGACATTGGGAACATACTGTGTAGCTAGGTCGAAAGTCATTTTTCTAAATTCAAACTGAGTTATCACATGGAAAAATTATTAATTATACTTGTTCAGTATAAAAAAGACATTGCCTGCAATGAAAAGGCTTTTTCATATAATTTCTTTTTGGGTTAATACTACGAAAACCCCTCGTATATCTATGATAAATTTACCCCAAAATCCAAAACGGGTACACCTGTGATAAATTTACCATCTATTAGTATATATTAAATTTTACCATCAAATTGCTAAGTTGGATAACACGTGGCAGTTGACAGGTATACAAATTTAGAGTTTTATCCTTGGTTTGCCAATTTGTGATTTTTTGTGGTATTAATCCAATTTAATGGAAACTAACTGAGAGTAAATTTGTCATTAATGTATCAGTTTGGGGTTTCTGGTGGTAAAAAAATTAGTTTGTTGTAAATTTATCACAGGTTATCAATTTGCGGTCAATTCGGAAATCATTTTACTCATTTTTATATACATATAATCTTTTCCGTTGATTACCCACTTTGAGCGAACTAAACACATGAAAGTTCATTTCACCAAAACAAACACATCCTTAATTTAATTAGGAAATCTGTACCTAGAAATGTGATCCTAATTCCCAATCCGTCTTAGAATGTCTATCACTCTATACCTCTTTCCTTTTGTTGTATAATAAGGATCCTTTCTGTTTTTGCCACAGTATAGTACAGATTTCTGATTTAGGAACCAAGAACAGATCATTGGAAAATGATCAACCTTTCTTATTTCTTAGTTTAATTAGGAAATCTGTACCTACAAATTTGGTCCTAATTCCGTATCCGTCTTAGAATATGAAACAAAATATTAGGAAATACCCATTCTAGTTGGATATGAGAGACAGGTTAATTCAAAATCAAAGGAGATCCTTATATTAGTCAAGAAATTGACTAATTAGAACAATGAGCCCAAAAGTTCATTAGTGTAGGAAACCTAGGGCTAAATTCTCAATAATTGCCAAGCAAAAGGTACCCTCAAAAGTTCCCCAGACTCCTAATATTTAGGGCTAAATTCTCAATAATTGCCAAGCAAAAGGTACCCTCAAAAGTTCCACAGACTCCTAATATTTTCTGAAATTAGACAATCAATTCGAAAACATTTAACCGGGTTCTAAAATACAAAAAAAAGAAAAAAGATCATGATTCACAGTCATTATGTTTCACACTTATACAAATGAAAAAGTCATTTTAGATTAAAAACGAGGGATGTGACGGACAAAACCAAAAAAATCCTTGTTTCTATGGGTAGGGTTTGCTAGTGGTTTTGAGCACAATGTCATCGGTATACACTCCAATGAATTTGCCTATCATTTCACTAAAGATGGCCTTCATTACTCTTTGATAACAAATACCTAAATGACAAGAAAAATTTGTCTTATGAATATCTTCTTTAGTGATGCAGATCTGATCATATCCTAAGTATCCATTCATAAAAGATGATAACTCATTGTCACCGGCATTATCAAGTAATGATTCTGCCGCAGGCATGGGGTATTCATCTTTAGGAGTTGCTTTGCGCAAAACCCTAAAGTTGACACGCGTGAACTTTTTCCATTCCTTTTGACACCAGGTACAAGTCTAGGGTTCCAATGGATGTACCGGCAATTCGAATGAAGTGAGCCTTGAATAACTCCCTAACGTTATCGAGGACTTGTTTTCTATCATCTGGGCTGACATTCTTCTTGGGAGTTGTTTGATAGGCCTTGCTTCTCCACCAAGCTTCTATCTAGTCCTGGCATGACTTGGTGTATTCCCATGCAAAGCAATCTTTGGTCCTTTGAAGGATTTCAGCTAAATCTTTGGCCATCGATGGCTCTTTTATCAGTTCCCAAATTTACTTCGACCGGAGGGATCACGGGATATGATAATTTCCTCTGTTCAGACCCCCTTTCTTAGGCCGAGTCCTCCTATTTAGTCTTTTTCAAAGGTCTGGGTGTTCAGTAAGTTCTTTTCGGTCATGTAAGTGGCTGTCCTTCGAATGGTATACTGGGCTTCTTTCGTGCCAAGGTTCGAGTCGACCCACCTAAGTCACTCATTGCTGGCGTTTGTTGGAAACCCCCTGCTGCCCATTCACTCAAGCATAAGTGGTGGTGAGCAGGGGCGTGCAATCGGGTCAGTTCGTTCCGGGAATGGGCTTTATTTGGTCAGATCACATATGGGGATCGGTTCAATTCCCAGGTGAAAAATTTGAGAATCGGTCTTGACCGATTCGATATGCGATTCCCTGCCTTGAACAGGTCGGTTCTACCCAAAGCTAGTTCTGGGGTACAACCGGTTTCAAGGCGGGTTTTTGGATAAAGCTGATTTAAAATCAAACCCTACATGTATTTTAACTTTCATGTCGTATTCTTTTTTTTTTTTTTGGTATTGAAAGGGGCAAAGCCCAGAAATTACAACATAACTCGTCTAACGAAACTTGAACCAACCTGATCTCCTATCAATAGAGGAATCAACCCTCTTGATGGCCTATCTAGCACTAAGGTACCATTTGCATCACTAGAATGAAAGACCCAATTTGCTAACCAATCAGCACATAAGTTGCCTTCCCTAAAATTATGTAGCATTTTGACATTCTGGAAACACCTTAAAAGTTTCTGAATCTGAGGGATGAGCGTGTCGCCAAAGTGGAGAGCGGGAGATGATATGTGAAGTAGTGAAATGGTGACTTGCGAGTCCACTTCCACAATAAGTTTAGGTATGCCCAAAGATATTGCCATTTTAAGACCCAAAAGGATACCCCATAGTTCTGCTTTGAGCGAAGAGCACACTCCCACAGTTTGAGCAAATCCAGCAAGCCAGTTGCCTGATTCATTGCACAGAAGGCCACTTGCTGAGGCGGGTCCCGGGTTGCCTTTAGACGCCCCGTCGGAATTGAGCTTGACCCAACCAGTCGGAGGGGCAGTCCAACCTACAAGCTTATCTCTTTTCTCCCTATGAGGAGACAATCTATGTTCTGCCAGTCGAGCCGAAGTAATATCTTTGACATGGCCTAGAATCACGCAAAAGGGTTCGCTGGTAAGACAAAAATCCTTCTCAAATATTCTTCTATTCCTCCAGTTCTAGAAATACCAACAAGCAACAGCAAAAATAAGTGGCCAATTATCTCGAACCCTAGTTGATGAACCAGATAAGTTTAACATCAACCATGGGAGTAGATCTTGGGTGAAGAACTCGCCCTGTAAACTAGCAGGTAGAATCTTCTGCCAAACTGCGTTTGCATACTTGCAATCTCTGAGAACGTGTATAATTGTCTTCGGAGAGTGCGGGCACATCACGCAACAAGAGTCCGCTGTGAGTCTACGTCGAAATCTTTCATCATTAGTGAGCAGGCACTGATGAGAAACCAACCACAAGAAGCTTTTGATTCTTTGTGGCCCATCCCATTTCCATACTAAACTCCAGAGTCGGTTAGTCGGCATTTGATGTATTGGTGCAACTAATTCATAAGCTTCTTTAACCGTGAAGGAACCATTGTTATCACTGCCCCATATAAGCAAATCCTCACCACCATTATCAGAAGGTGGAAGCATTGAATGTATACGCATCAAGATTGATTGTGGTAGAATGTCTTTAGAATTGCAAGGTTCCATTGATTGTTGCAAACGAAATCACGAATAGTGCAGTCTAGGTTATGAGCTACAGCAGACAGAAGAATCCAGTGGGTCAGTGGGCCAACCTCATCAACCCAGTTATCCTTCCAGAATTTAACCGATCGCCCATTAACAACTACCCATCTCATACCCTCTAAAGACATCACTCCAGACACTGCTAAGAGCCTTCCAAAATAAAGAATGTGTAGTACGGGAGGGCATAGCAGACGGTACCAATTCAATACAATTGTATTTATCTCGAATATATGAAACCCATAGTGATGTTGGTTTCGAAACTAAGAACCAAGCCAATTTCATAAGGTAAGCTTTGTTACTATCTCTCAGATTACGAAATCCTAGCCCTCCACAGTTTTTCGGATGGCAAAGCTTCTCCCAACTAAGCAAGTGCATCTTCTTTTTACCTTCAACATCTCCCCAAACAAAGTTTCGACACTCTCTCTCTATTGCTTCACATGTAATTACAGGTAGCTTCGCTGCTTGCATCGCATAAGATGGCATAGTCATAGCCACAGACTGAACCAGGGTGATTCTACCAGCGAGAGATAAATTTTCAGCTTTCCACCCGCTTAACTTTACTATGCACTTTGTCAACAACAGGTTGGTAAGTTCTACGGGTAACTCTTTCATGAAGCAAAGGTACCCCTAAATATTTGCCAAGATTGGTAGTAAGAGGAAAGCCTCCCATGGTGCTGATAAGTGTCATTTCATGTCGAGGGATGTTCTTCGAACAAAAGAGCTTGGACTTAGTATTACTAACTTTTTGACCCGAAGCATCGCAGAAAGAATCCAAGCACCGTTTGATAACCAGCATTTGTTGAGGAGAGGCTTCCGCAAAAAGAAGGAGATCGTCCGCAAACATTAAGTGCGAGATTACAGGCTTCCTGGACGGGTACGAAACGGCTTCCATTCTCCCTTCTCAACCAACTCCATGATTAAATGAGAAAGTCATTCCATACAAAGGACAAATAAGAAAGGCGAAAGTGGGTCCCCTTATCTTAGGCCCCTTGTAGGCTTAAACA